GTTCCAGGTCCAGGCCTGCCTGCAGCACCGACCTCAGCCCGGGAGTGCCCCGTCCCAAGACGTGGTGACCAGACATCCACTGCTGACTCCTCTCTGGCGGGCGCTCGGGTCACGTTCCTCCTCTGGGCTCAGACCACTTCTGCCTCTGGCTGACAGGTGTCTCCCGATTACATCAGAGACGCCGTTCTTCTCTTTCGTGTTCTCTTTTTGTTTGGGGATGAATTAAAGGGAAAAAGGGAGGTGGGGCAAAAAGATCCTTCACTATCTTAAAAGCAACACTGTAGTCATATTTGTGTAGCAATTTTCTAAAGAAACTAGAGGGGACCTTTGTGGTTGGGGGTTTGTTTTGCTTCGCTCTTATAAAGAGAAAGGAGGTTTGAAAAAGACGAAGCTTTCGGAAGCATCGTGTCTTTTCTGGCTGCTTCTTGCCAGGTATATCTGTAGCATGTTAAGCTATATGTGAACCAGAATCAGGAAACTCATCGTGCTGCAAACGCTCCATCACAAGCAACGCTCAGAAAAAAACAATTTGCCACTGGGCGGGAGCCTGCGGTCCCGGGCCGGCTGTACTTCCTTTGCTCACACATACAGGCTCGCTCTGTCGTTAAAGATTGTCCTGGTTCCTGGAGCGCCCAGGCTTCTGTCTCCTGTCGCTAACCCCCGTCCCTTTTCTCAGCTCTGCTCTACTGCGTTCTTCTCCCTCCCTTGCTCCCTCACCAACTTTTAGTCTCTGCCAATTCCCACCGACTCCAGATGTCACCTCCTGCCCACCCCCCAGCTCCATCTCCTGAGCTGGCTTCCCCACTGGGCTGTGTGCCATTTGAGGACAGGACTCTGCCTTAGTCGTCTTTGTACCTCTCAGAGCTTAGTGCCAGCTCATGACCGGTAGGAAGTACTTACTACACGCTTGTCGAAAGGAGGGAGGATGGAATATGAAGTTGCTTTTGCCTTTAAAGATCACCAGCCAGTGGGTGTTTGCTTTCTTCAACCTAACAACCGACCAGCACCGGGTTTAATCTTAGGGTTCGGTCAAGGTCTCTCTCCTCTCTTTCTTTCTTCCATCAGACTTGTCCGTTGATAGCCGTATTTTGTTGGTAGATTTACTTGTACATAAAAAGACAGACTTCAGATTTCCTTCTTTTTATTCCTCTTATCAAGTCAGATTCCCCAGGCAGGCTGGAGCGTGCCTGGCCTTCCTCTGCATCATTGAGAGAGTTCTTCGGAGTTAGGAGAACATATAAGAACAAGGAAGAAAAAAATCTGCAGTGCAGCAGCGTGGGCCCTAGAAAGATTTATTTATCTTCTGTGGGCACGTTCTGACCTTTTATGCAACTGGGGCTTCTCCAGGAAGGAGGTGAAAGAGGTATTCCTACCCAGCCTTGCAGGTCCAGCTGATGTTTCCTTTATCCTGGATATTAATCCTCCTGCCAGGACCCCAGAACTTTCCCCAACGCCCATGTAGAAGTAAACACGGATATTTCTTCAGAAATTTATCCAAGTGAGCTTGGCTAGTTACAGAAGCCAGAGCAATGCTGAAGCCACATAATTTATGGAGACCAGGAGCCCAATTAAAGTAAGCGATGCAAATCAGCCCCTTGGCTTCAAGCAATGAGAAGCAAATGAAGTGTTCCAGTTAGAATATTCCCGTTACACAAATATTTGAAGATGATGTTGTAGAAGTAGACTTGAGCAAAATTAATTCACCGTGTAAACAACTTTCAAGAGATCTTAACAGTTATAAGGTTGGCTTGGATCTTCCCATTTCAAAAACAAGGGCTCTTCCAAGACAGAAATAATCGTGTCTTTTTTCAGGAGTTTAAATCCAGGCAGGGCCCTTCAGTCACTGTGTCCTTAGAAGAAGAAAGGTTAGCTAAGGGCAAAGGAGTTCAGAGGTCACTGATTATGACCCACAGTAAGAAATAGACAGAAACCCGCTCCATATATAAAACAAAAGTTTCACAACACCACGCTGACTTTTGCCATGTACAGCGCACTCTGATCTTTTCTATTTTACTCTGTTATATTGGTAATTTATATTTTTAAATACTGGTAGCTCCCCCAAAATCAATTTATTGATCCCAAATGGGTGGTGACGCACAATTTGAAAAACACGGATTTGAGAATAAATTCAAAAGAAGGGTCTGTTTCCAATCAAGTCAAAGACGTTTCCCCTAAACTGTCTAGTTATCTTTTAGGATCTTTCCAGTGACCACTAGTGGTAAAATCTATGGCTATGGAAAGGAGATAACTATGGAAAGGGAATGGTTGGGGTGAATGGAGCTCCCCGTGTGCCAGATATTATATGTATTCTACGCGTGAAAATATTCCACAAGAGGTACAGCTCCTCACTAGAGGAGCCCATGTCCCTACAGAATGAGGTAGCCACAAAATAGGCCAAACACCCAGCTGTGGATAAGTCCTGCTAGAACTGCCAAATGAGCATGTCTCGATATCCCACTTTAGCACTGGAGGAAAATGTTATTAAAATGACCTTTTTTTCCTTAAAGCTATTCTCAGTATCAAAGATGGACAGTTCAGCATCTGAACTGCCCTGAGACATGTGACCACAGTAAAAGCCATCCTCCGTGGTCAGCTCTCTTGCAGAGCCCCGTAGGAAGAGCGGACAGCCTGCTTCCCTCGCCGGCTGTTGAGATGTGCTCTTTCCCACAGCCTGGCGGACTCTGCCTCTTACTATACTGAAGGCCGGGACCATTTGAGGAGTGGGGATTAAACAATTGGTCCGGCTGACTTGAGGATCCTGACTTTTTTAAGTACACTTACGATGAAAAGCTAATTTTGAAAAAGTACTGGTAGGAGATACTGTACGGGAAAATGATCTTTTTGGTATTACAGGTAGAAGCTGGAAAAAAAATACTACAAAAGAAAGTGAGATTAAGTGTTAGGATTGGGCTGTTCATTCACAAGGTCTGTCAAGTCCAGTGTCCTTTTGTCATTAGAACTCACTTTGTCTTCCATTTACCACGGTTGCCTGTTTTCACTTTGGCAACTGAATGGTACCTTAATCGCCTTCGTACTAACATTTATTTCATCGCTTACAGAAATGTCCTTAGCCTCTGTACCAGTTTTCAGAGCTGCCAGCACAAAATACCACAAACTGAGTGGCTCAAACGACAGAAATTTATTTTCTCCTGGTTCTGGAGGCCGCAAGTCCAAGATCAAGGTGTCGGCAGGCTTGCTTTCTCTCGAGGCTTGTCCTTCGCTTGAGACGGCCGTCTTCTCCACGTGTCTCCCCCAACCTTTCCTAATCTCCTCTTCTTACAAGGACACCAGTCAGAGGCAGTTAGGAACCACCCTAAAGGGTTCATTTTGACTTGATCACCCCTTTAAAGGCCTTAGCGCTAAATGCAGTCACATTCTGAGGTCCTGGGGGCTAGGAGTGCAACATAGGAGTTTGCAGGGGAGGGCATGGTGGGAACACAGTTCAGCCCGTGGCAGCCTCCGAAGCTTTGCTTCAACCACAGATGCAGGAGGTGGGTACCACTGCAGCGCGTGAGCCTGGGTCAGGCTTCTAAATGGTACCTGTGGTTTCTCGGCCTCAGGGAGAACTAACGCCGACGTGATGACCGCCCTGTCGCAGGGCTACAGGATGCCCCGCATGGAGAACTGCCCGGACGAGCTCTACGACATCATGAAAATGTGCTGGAAAGAAAAGGCCGAGGAGAGGCCCACGTTTGACTACCTGCAGAGCGTCCTGGACGACTTCTACACGGCCACGGAGGGCCAGTACCAGCAGCAGCCTTAGGGCGCAAGGGACTCAGGCGACTCACGGGACGGCTGCCTCCTTAGGAAGAAAAACGTAACAATCCCTGCTCACTAGTTATTTCCTGGGCTGGGGTCACCGGCCACCCCTGCTTCCCACACACAAGGCTAACACTCAGGAAGAACACCCCCCCCATGGGAAAGGATTCTGCTCGCAAGGGCCACTGCCCACCAGTGCGTGGCCTGGCCTGCTCCCCGTGGGCAGTCCGGCCTCGCTAGACCAACCTCTGGACACGGGCTTCTGAGAAGACAACACCTGTCCCACCAAAAGTGCACCCATATCGGCCTCGTGTTTACAAGGGGGTGTGTGACTCAGAGGTTCAGAGGCCATTTCAGTAAATCCCAGACAGGAGCACAGCTAAACTCATTTATGAAAGTAAAATAACCATATGCCTTTCATGACGCTTCTTTGTATTTTCTCTATGCTTTAGCTTCTTTGTTTAAAAAAAAAAATTTACTAATCCAACCTGTTAGGTTTTGCAGGTGAAGTCAGAAGCTTCAGTGTGGTTCCCAGATTTCAGTGATCTCCCACCCCCTGCAATCTGAGACTGTTCAGTTTCCTTTGGTGGAGGCCGCTCAGAACCCCAGCTGGGAAAAGGGGGTCTCTTTCCTTGAAAGTGTCACCTGCAAACAGACAGGGCAGCCGTGTTAAGCGACATGGACCGCCCCCCGCAGCAGCCGGGGTTTGCCCAGACCACCCTGGAAAGGAGCTTTAGAAACTGCTCTGCCATAAGAAGGAATACTTTTTAACGGTTCAGCTTTTCAGCTCCACAATTTCCTGTATCCAGACTTTTTTGGACAATGTAGTTTGGAAGAACAATAAGATTCTGATCTCTGCAGAAACTTCTAGGGCCTTACAAAACATCAGAATTTTCTTTATTGCTTCAAGTGATTTTGAATATTGTTTTAATGATCAAGTATTCATTTTAGTCATACTCTAGAAAGTAACAATGCCATATTTGGGGGCTATTTTTGTGATTCAGCAATCTTTTCTAAATTGTGTAAGGTCTGTGTGAGACTATTTATATGAAGATATGATGGAAAATAAATGAGTCAGGAGGCTCAACTGAGCCACTGGAGCAAGAGAGACGAGAGGTTTTGTTTATTCAATTTTTCTACTGTAAAAGCTTTGAATGGAAAATGCTATATCACATCACGTTTCACTTATGCTGCTGTGTATATACCTAATATTTCAATTTTTGATTTTATTTTAATACACCCGGCCCAGTAACGTGAAGCTTTTCACTGGTGTTTAACATCTCCTACTGTCATCAATATAAAAACGAGTACCAGGTGGTGGGGGTGGGATGAGAGGTGATTCCATTGGATACATCCTTTAAAAAATTGTGTACAAGTTCTACCTCCATCTTTTGAGTGTTTTCAGATCGAAGAACAGAGGAGTTGCTGGGCTGGACAGCTGATTATCCCTTTATGGGGGCCCAACAGGATTTGTTTTCAAACAGGCTTAGCAAGCACCATTACAGTTTCACTTGGTGTTGCCTAGATGTTGGGTGCCTGGGGAAAGGGATGGAATATTTTGCTTTCCCTAAATTTTAACTTCTTTTCCCGTGTGATCTTTTTTTTAAAAAAACAAAAAAACGGTCTAAAATTCTCAACTCACAAGAGCCATCTCCACACAGGTGAACTATTGTCATCTAATGCCTGCATAGCTGGTCACCTGATTCGCCAACGGCACATCTTCTACAAACACCCACCTGTTCACGCTTTAGTTCAGAATCACACACGTGACCCAGCGTGGAGAGAAAGTGTAAGGAATCCCTAAAGCAAAAAGAAGTCTCTAAGAAATTACTAAATTCATCTTCACCGTGTTTTTCTCCTCACAATTCTGCTTCCTTTGGCCATTTTACTTTCCACTGTCCCCCTCGGTCAAGTCTGTGCTCCTTTGCTTCCAGCATCTCCTCCGTCACCTCGGGCCTCCTGGCTTACTCTCAGCCTGTGCCCATACACAGGGTGCTCGGTGGACAGCACACACCGTTAGGGTTCCTGGCAGGCAGAATCAGGGGCTGGGTAGGTGTTTGTTTAATCTCGGTGTGCAGAGGCGTGCAGGCTGGCTTACATCTTCACGTCCCAGGTCACTGAGAACTTGAAAACCGGAATCCTCCCCCCCACCCCTAGACACTGACTCTGTTGTTCTGCCCTGGGGGAGCGGGGAGGGGATGTGTCAGTGTACTTGAAAAGCTTCCCAGTGAATTTAAGGTTAGTATAATGCATGCCCAGGCTTGAGAGCCACCCCCCAGCTTTGACCCATATTGCAAAGTGATCTGCTCAAAAGAACCTTCTCTTTCCCCAGATAGTTCGGTTTCCCTGAGGACGATGTAGTCAAAAAGGAGGAAGAAGGAGGAAGAAATGTGCCTTTTTCCTTCCTTAGGTACGGGAAGCTCACAGAACCTAAGGTAAAGCTCGGAGGCCTGACACGTGTCCCGAGGAGGAGGGGACACTTGGTACTTCTGTAGCCCCTCCAAGAAGGCCTCCCGAGGTGCTGTCAGAATCCCACTGGGAAAGCATGTCCAGGCCTTCTTTTAGGGGACACTCTACGTACACCACAGACGCCTTGACTCCTGTCCCAAGAGTGTAGAAGGGGGTCAGTTAAAGGAGGAGCCGTATTTACTTGCTTACACAGTGGGATAGATCAAGGGCACTGAAACACAAGTATAAGCTCATTTCTCATTTTGCCTGTGGTGAAGGCTTTCCCTTTGCCCAAACAAACTACATCCTGGGCAGTAGCTGCTGAAAGGTACTCAGTAGCAAAACACCAGCATCTGACAGGCTTCACTGAATTAAAACAATTGCTCAGCCCCCCACCCTCATGATTTTAACTGCCATGTTCCACACCCAAGCTTCCTGTGTCCTCTGCCCAGAGCATCTCTCAGATGCGCTCACACCACCCACCTTTCCTCTCTGTATCTTCATTTCTACTTCCGCTGGTTGAATGAGACTTCAGTTCTCTATCTCTACACTTTGACTACCTGATGAACTGAGGACACCTGGCCATTCTTCCTGATGGGAATGATGACTATAAATACACAAAGATACCCATACACCCACCATTCTCTCCTTGTTCTCTTCTGTGCTTTGGCTCTTAAAAAAGTTACCTTGAACTCACACAATCACTCCTGAAGTTCTGACTGGTACTGTCACTATTGCATGGCTGAGAAATCAGAGGCATTCAGGGCCACGAAAGGAATAGATTGGCTTCTCTTCGTGTTTTCTTGCAAAATAAAACAAGTGAAATACCTTTACCGTGGAATAATCCTGACTCAGCTGGATAATCTAAGTGGGCAAAGGAATTACTTTAAAAATGCCCCACTGGAGTCCACACAGATGTGAGAGGAAATTTCTTCTAAAAATTTTAATTTGGGGAGAAAAGTCACGCAATAATTTAACTCACCATTCACACTTTTTAAAAAGACAACTTACAGAGACCACGCCTTTGAATAAAATGCTTTGATAACGTTTGTGCTCCATTTCATGTCATGAAGCTGTATTAAACTGATAAAATTTTATCCCAGAAAGTTCTAATATGATAAATGTGTAGGAGGCAAGCCTTCCAATTTAATTTCCTGTGTTCTTAAGAATCTAAATTCTTTGAGTAGGAGCAAGTGCCAGAAATGTCCCAAGGCTCCCAAGATGGTCACCAAGTGATAGTGAATGTTTCCCTTAAATCTGGAAATGATGGGGGCAGTCTTGGTGGCTTCCATCTCTAGGCCGTTGGAGAGATTTGTCAGATATAATCCGGATTGGCCAATGTGCAATGTTAATACAGAACTTCTAGAACCAAAGGTGGCTCTATTTACAGCACCAAAAGTCAATACCGTGCCACAAAGCAAGAAAACAATCTGTGAATTTTTTTAAATTACACTTATGCTGGGGCTCAGACAAGTCCCTACGCCCTCATCTGCCACCCTCAGGGTCAGATGTGTTTTTGATTTACGGTTTGTTTTTTGTTTTTGTTTTTTATTTAAGAGGTTAATACAATGAATATTTGGTGGCAAACCCTCAGTGAACACTAGAGAAGAAACCATTAATCAAATAAAACATTTCTGCAGGGAAAAATGCCCGAACTCATAGGAAGTGGGATGAATATAGCCTATAAATAGCTCTGGATCAGGTTTTACCACCAAATGAGTTCTTTAAAAACGTGGTTTGGAGTATTTTGCACTTGTGTGGCGAAGGGGACGGGCCAGAGGGCTTGGAGGGCAGGCAAGACCTTTCAGGACCTTTCAGCATCAGTGGTGAGTCCAGTTCAAATAGACGACGTGGGGGTTGTGGTCACTCAAAACTCATTTGATGCAGCCATGTTCCAGGATGCAAAGTATTTATGCATCTGTTTGAAACAACAGAGTCATTAACATACTCTCTGATCAGACGCACGTCAGGGCGGTCTGAGACTTCGCAGTTCAAGTGAGGAGAGGCGTCTGGTGGTTTTAGTTGCCCACAGAGCCGCCAGTGAGCTGTGGTTGCTGAAATAAAGAGTGAAGTAGCTGGCAAAGGACCATGAACAAAAAGAGATGCGCTTTCACGAAAGTCAGACCACGCGGGAGCGTTCCATTCAACTCTGAGCACTAGATGGCAGACTCCCAAATCTAAGTGCCCTGAGAGAGTCTCTCTGATGTGGGCAGGCGGGTACATGTGACAGAACTGGGAACACATCAGACACGGAAGCCTTCAGACTGTCGGTGGGAGCCAGAGCCCAGATGTTTTGATGGGAGAGAGAAATCATTTTCAAACAATTGCCCTGTTAAAGGATTATCTTTTGAATCCTTCTTTGTAAGACATTTTTTTCCCAAAGTGAATCATCACTCCTAATCTCTTTTTTGTCCATGTACTTAGTTTTAAAGAAGGTTTTCCATGGGTTAATAGTAGTCATTCAATACAGTGCTTTGTTGAACACAGTCCTGAACACAGTCTCAGATGGCTGGCTTTAAGGGGACAAGTGCAGGTGCAAGAAAACTATTATAAAGAAAAAAGTAGGTACAGAAGGTGAAGAAGGTCCTTCTGAGGAGAGACCGCAGGGCTGGTTACAAGAACAGGCATGGAGATAAAGCAAAAAGCCTTCATAAAGAAGTGACATTCGGGACTGGCTCTGAAGAGGGGCCGAGCGCCGGTAGCGGAAGAAGAGGCCGCAGGGAGTTTCAGAGAAAGGCTGCAGCGAAGGGGGAGGTGGGGCAGGGACGTCGGGGGGCTTCAAGGACAGAGCCCCCCAGATGGGTGGAGCTTAGGCACGAGTCTCAAACTTGAGAGTGTCTCCGAATCACCTCCTTATCACAAATCCCTGCCTTCTCATCCCCCGCTGAGCTTCCGGTTCTGGGCTGGAGGTCTGGGGAGGGGCCCAAGAACGGCAGCGGATACGCCTGGCCCTGGGCCACCTTCGCTCTGCAGGCGGTGGGGGGGGGGGGGGGGCGCAGTCAACGGGGATGAGGCCCCCTGAGGAGAGAAGGTGGAGGCCCAGGTAAGCCATGCTGGCTGCACTATGCATTTGACAGCCTGGGGGCGGGGGCGGGGGCGGGGCCCAGCTCCGAGCTGATGCCTGCCGCCGGTGCCGTGGCCGGTGCCCGTGGACTGCGGGGCCACACCGCCTCCCTCCTGGCCCAGCTTTGCTCACTGAGCTCAGCTCCCAAATAGGTGTAAGATCAGAACTCACTTCCTGTGGTTGCTACAAGAAATGAATGCAGTAACATCTCATTATGAGTCAGGCACACAGTGAAGTCAGTGTGTTCGTGAAATAAAGACGTGATAAAGTCCAGTCGGCCAGCAGTGTGAGGGATGGATGGACAGGAAAGCCCACGAGGAGGCTGTTACGGCAGGAAAGTGGAGAAAGGCTAAGCTCCCAGACTCCCCAGGGCTGCTCTGGGGGCACTATGGACGCAGACCACCCCCCTGACCCTTGCCCGGCACCCAGAGATCGGGTTTCTCTAGATTGGGTGGGTTTTTTCTAATTTTTAGCAACCTCTCCCATCTGTGATATTGATTTAAATATTCAAATTATAACCCTGAGAAACTAAACTAGGGAATTAGATTTGGGGGTTGGCAACAGTTATGGGTTGACTTGTGTCATCCCAGAATGGTATGTTGAAGTTGCAACCTCCAGGACCTCAGAATGGGACCTTGTTTGGAAACAGGGTCATTGCAGATGTATTCAGTTAAGCTTAGATGGTGTCCCGGGTAGGGCCCTAATACCAGACCATCGTGGGAGGAAACAGAGCACACACAGAGGGAGGGCCACGTGAAGACACCTGGGAACACGGCATTTGCAAGCCAAGGAGAGGCTGCTCAGAGCTTTTCTCATGGCCTCAGGAGGTCCTCCTGGTACCCTGGGAGGAGACAGCATCACCCAGAGCTGCCTGCACTGGTCACCTGCTGACACCGGAAGCTGTGCCCTGGTCACCTCTGGGGACGCTCCTGCCCCGGCCCGGAATCTTCTGGGACCTCTATCAAAGCCAGTGGTTAGTTTGCCAGGGCTGCTGTAACAAGCACCACACACGGGCAGCTTAAACAACAATCATTCACCTCTCAGAGTTCTGGAGGCTGGGAGTCCAAGATCAAGGTGTCGGCAGGGTGGGCTCCTCCTGAGGCCTCTCTCCTGGGCTGGCAGACGGCCGCCTTCTCCCTATGTCCTCACTTCGGCTTCCCTCCGTGCACATCTGTGTCCTAATCACCTCTCCTTATAAGGACAACAGTCACATCAGATGAGGACCCACCCTCACAGACTCATTTTAACTTCGTTACCTCTGTAAAGACCCCATCTCCAAACACACTGAGTTACTGAGGGTTAGGACTTCACCATATGAAATTTCGGGGGACACAAACCAGCCATAACACTCAGTCTTGGGAAATAGAGAACATGAGCTAGAAAGGAGAACAGATGACACCCAGCTGCACCCAGTGCGGAGGCAGGTTATGAACCCAGGCTTCCCTGGGACACGTCAAAGCTGGCTCACCACGCGGGCCCTTCCTGCAGCTGCCAAGGGGCCGAGGACCCCGCACAGCCTGGCCTGGCGGCTGGCACCGCCCATCCAACCTAACCCAGGACGCCCAAGCCTCTCAGAGCCTTGGCTCCCCCAGTCCTACCCTGCCGGGAGCACGGGGCCATGGAGGCGAGCACATCCCAGTCCGCAGTGGACTGTGTGCTGGGGTCAGCAGGCAAGGCTGTCACCAGAATCACTGCATAGACAGACCACGCTGTGAGCCAAGTTTACCAAGACGCGGGGTGTGGGGCTTGGCAGGAGAGGGCAGGAGAGGGCGGGAGAGGGCAGGAGAGGGCAGGAGAGGAACAGCCCAGGTGAGGGAGTGCCCGTTGAGCCCACCCAGGGCCCAACAGCCCCAGAGGGAGGAGCAAACTGGACAGAGTGGGCCCTGCAGCCAAGGTGATAACCTCGGGGCATCTTTGCTTCTTGTGATGGGAAAACGCAAGGAGCACGTGGGTTTCTGTCCACGGTCACGTGCACACGCACACACACAGGTAGTAGTTATCGTGGGAAGCCGTCATCTTCCACTGCATCTTTACTCCAAGGGACGTGTAAGTATGCCAAGCTGTTTTTTCTTTTTCGAAACATAGCTATTTTGGGAGACAGAACACTTTCCTATTATTTTTTGCCACAGTCCTCAGAAACTGTAGTATTTTGTTGTTGATGTCATCATTTAAAATGAGTTCCTTTTCCTAAAGAAGCCAGAACTCGTGGATGGGAAATAGGATGAATTAATCTCCACTATGGGAAACGTATACCAATAAAACACCAGCCCTTCATTCACGTGTTCAATCAACGGCTAGTTATCGATTACCTGCCCTGTGCCGGGCACCATGCTGGGTGCTGGACTCGTTGGAATGTGCTTCATTTTGAGGACACCCGGACCAGAACATCCCCCCCCCCCGCCCACCAGAACACCCCCCCCCCCCGCTCACCAGAACATCCCCCCACCCCGCTCACCAGAACATCCCCCCACCCCGCAGTCATTTACGTTGTCACTTACCTCTCTGAAGAGCAGCTCCCCATCTGTCAACAGCTTTGAAAATGTCCCAGCCACACTCCAAAGGGCTGCTCGGGCCTGTAGTAGGAAATAAAGAAAAAGAGAGTGTGAAAAACTTAAAAATCAGAAGAAAACTCTCAACTCCAAAGAATCAAATCAGGGGCTTCCCTGTGGTGTGGTGCAGTGGTTAAGAATCCGCCTGCCAATGCAGGGGACTCGGGTTCGAGCCCTGGTCCGGGAAGATCCCACATGCTGCAGAGCAACTGAGCCCGTGCACCACAACTACTGAGCCTGCGCTCTAGAGCCCGGGAGCCACAACTACTGAGCCTGCGTGCCACAACTACTGAAGCCCGCACGCCTAGAGCCCGTGCTCCGCAACAAGAGAAGCCACTGCAATGAGAAGCCCGTGCACCGCAACGAAGAGTAGCCCCGCTCACCACAACTAGAGAAAGCCCACGCGCAGCAACGAAGACCCAATGCAGCCAAAAATAAATAAATAAATAAATTTATATAAAAAAAAGAATCACATCAGGATAAATATTTTTCTCCTTGTTAGTCAATAGTGTGCCAAAGAAGCCCCTTTGAGGAGTGAATTCACACATATACAAATTTCTGGGACAAGAGCTGTGGATGAGAAAATAGGGTTTCCTCTCCAGGAGGACAAAACGGAAGCAGGAAGAAGTGGAAACCCCACAGGCTCCTCACAGGAGAATCAGGGGTGAGGATTCCCCGCCAGACACACGGCCCCATCGACAATGTGCATGAGGCTTAACATCTGAATGCGAATCCCCATAATGAAACTCCCATGTTTATTACACCATGTAATGCAAAACAACGGCTGGATGCTCTCCTTTGAGAGGAAAATCATTTTGAAACAAAGAGTGACAGAGAGAGATTTCTTTTCATTCTTTTAATGTACAACCTCCTTTCAAATGTAGGAGTCTAGCTTCTGGTGTTTTCGGGTACCTGTGTTAACCTTTTAATGGACATTTTGGATAGCAGTGTAGTGTAATTAAGCAGAGATCTTAGGGAAAAGTATGAATTCTCACTGTTCTGCCCACTTACGAGAGCTCCTGAGAGGGTTAGGTGACGAGTGCCACTCAGGATAAGGAGTCCCCTCCTCCCGTCCTTTCTTGAGTTAAGTCGGTTGCCTAATTTCTCAGTAAAGCAGTGAGAATTCATGCTGAGAAGGGTGACACCCAGGCTCTGAATCAGACGTCATTGCTACGAAAAGCTTTATTTCTTAATAATCGGCTCATTTTTTTAGCTTCTCAACCAATGACCCCTGCCTTATTTGCATAGTCTGGACGATATCTTCCCCTTTCTTTCCCTGGGTTAGCGTCATACAATTTGCCCAATTTTGTAAAATCTAATTATGAATCAAGGGCTTCAAAAATATTGCTGCTCTTATCGGACCTAGCTCAACTTCTAGAATTCTTAAATACGTGAATAATGTAAAAGTGCTTAAAGACCTTATAGGCTCAAGTGCACTCATTTCATCGCTATATATAAGTGCAAAATATTGAAACAGATCATTTCACTAGATAACTTATTCAGTCCCTATGTGTTAAAGGCCTGCTCTGCATCCAGAATTATGCACTGAAGATACTTACGAGCCAATTCAACGCTAAAGCCAAGGTTAATCAAACGATGGAGGACTTTTAAAGTGATACGTACGTAATAAGATAGAAAGATATCCATGACGCATTGTTAAGTAGAAATAATCAGAATACGAAAGTATTTACAAAGAATGAGTAGAGCCGTTTTTTAAGGAGGAAATGTCAAAAAGTATGCGGGCTTCCCTGGTGGCGCAGTGGTTGATGCAGGGGACACGGGTTCGTGCCCCGGTCCGGGAGGATCCCACATGCCGCGGAGCGGCTGGGCCCGTGAACCATGGCCGCTGGGCCTGCGCGTCCGGAGCCTGTGCTCCGCAACGGGAGAGGTCACAACAGTGAGAGGCCCGCGTACCGCAAAAAAAAGTATGCAAAATAATAAAAATGAGAAAAGAAACACTTTAAGGGAACACACGAATAACAAAGATTGAATTGGGCTTTTTCCTTTCTACTTTCATGTATCTTTCAATTTTCATTATTAACATATTACTCCAATAATGGAAAAGAGACATGCTCACAGAATAACGGAGCTAAATCCTATTTGTAGACTGAACAGAATCTATTTAAAAGTTTAAAAGTTGCTTAAAAGAAAAAAACCACACTGATGGGGATATGTCAAAGGGACACAGAAGCCAACTGAAAGATCTCCCAAGGGCCAAAGCTGGAACAATTTGAGTAACAAAATAAATAAAGTAGTACTGGGTTATAAACCAGAGGGTAAAATAAATAGTCATGAGTCTACACTGGTATCAATAAATAATTCCGTAAATAAATGGAGGAGAAGAGACATTTTTCCCATGCAGAAGATTTCCAGACAATTAATGTAGATACTTGGCCTTCAAAGAGGTGAAGCATCACACACACCCCTTAAGTGCTCACTATGCAAAGTGACTTGCTTCCAAGGAAACAGTATAGAAAGTGAGGGAAAAGGTACCTTGATGGTGGGGAAACCCGACAAGCACCCCTTCAGCCGGGTGACCAAGGTCAACATGCACAGTGATTGGTCATATCAACTGCGTGACACCAGGTGATGAAACAGCCCGGCACCTCTGTGGTCTTCTGCCACCAAATCCGTAACCCGGCTAGATCACCAGAAAAGCATCAGACACATGCAAACCGAGGGGCATCTTAAAATATTCGCAGCCAGTAGCCTCAGAACCGTCAAGGTCATCAAGATCAACTAGAGGAGACAGGACGGCCACGTGTCCTGCGGTCACCTGCATGGGATCTTGGTACAGAAAAAGGACATTAAGGAAAAACTGAGGAAATCGGGGTAAAATCTGGACTTGAGTTAATAGTAAGTTATCAACATCAGTTCATCGGCTGTGACAAGTGTTACCAGATGTTAATACTGAGGAACTGGATGCAAGGTGTACTAGCTTTGACATGTTTCTGTAAATCTAAAACTGTTCTAAAGTTTATTAGCAACAACAACTGAAAGGTAAACAAGTTCCTTGAGTCTTGGTACCCGGAAGCCATAGTCACCAACCTGTCATTTACTCAGAGTTGCGTTATTCAAGAAGTCCAGTTTGTTACAAGTGTAGGTGCTTATTCATAAAGTTAACACTTCATTAAGAACAGAAAGTGAAGGGAGTATTTTTATCTGACTTCTGGAAAACACAAAGTAACACACATATCCCTGACAAATGGGTTTAAAGAAACGCTTGGTCAATTCTAGCCAATTCCTGCGGAAGACAGCGCCACCTAGTGTTCTGTCACATGAATGAACCAGTGGTGGTTCTGGTTACTTCTCTTTCGTCGGCTGTACGTTACCTTAAATCCGAATTCAAAACTGAAAAGATAAATGAAATGGAAGCACATTTCCCCCATCCCTCCCATAAGTCCTTTTAATACCAAATGACTTGAGTAATAAAACTGCAATAACTTGGTTTCATTTATAACCTCAGCCTAGAATTTTTTTTATAAGATAAAGGCCTGATTTTCAAAACTTCAGTCCACTAATAATGAGCATGAAAGAGATCATATCAGAAATACAAACTGATGAAAAAGTGTAATAATATAGCTGCTTTTAAAAGTTACAAAGTAAGCTTTATAAGATAGCAGCTCTCAATTCCAAGTGTCAGTTCTAAAAACCATAAAGGTATATGTTAATATTGTGTCATTGAACCCAACACTTACATAAAGTTTCCTTGTTTAATAAGTCCATGCTTATATTAATATCAAATTGTTATTCATAAAGTTATACCTTTATTAAGAATAAATAGTAAAAGAGGAAAAATGGGGTCGATTATGGTCTAAAACGTCTCAAGGGAAAAAACCTCAAATGGTTAATTAACAGATATTGGTTTTAAACCTGAATGTTTTTTCAAAATGTGTCATAGCAAACACAGCTGAGATAACTGGCACCTTTCACCTGCAAATAACCGAAGTAGCAGTTTGCCTAGAATATAAACGACCAAAGTTTATTCCCCACCCTAATTTCCTATGTGCTTCGCATGCAGAATAGATGGGAAAAACTCCACTTCACTTATCAATTTGATTGACACTCTTTGCCCTCTTCTGACCACAAAGGCATGTTAAGATAGGCCCCTGAAGTGATTATTTCTGTCTGTCATACCTTAGATTAAGAGGTATGTCCTTGGGTTAAGAAGTCATCTTCCATAATGGAAAAGAATCTGAAAAAGAATATGTATATATAACTGAGTCACTTTGTTGTACACCCTGGAACATTGTAAATCAGCTGTACTTCAATTTAAAAAATAAAAAAGAAGTCACCTTCCAGTTAAGATTAGTTTTTGCTTTTGTTTTTCAGATTTCACTAAGATTTAGTTAAGAGAGAACTTAAAGGGCCTGTTAACAATTTATCCAGGTTATAATTGATTCTAGCTTTTTCCGTTTGTTTTTTCACACAGAAATTTCCCTGAGCTTTGGGGCTTAATCATTTTCCTGACACCAAGCCACTGACTGTCCACCTTAAAGGATGGCACCTGAGGTGTGATGCGACAGCTGGTAATTTACCCCATCGTAATAGCTGATGTCTTTTCCCCTGGGAATATTATAACTAACCAGCTACCAAACAAACAAACAAAACCCAACAGTGAAATGCAAAACACAGAGCAGAGAGGCGTGGGTTATTTTCTCCTGAAGAGAGATTTCAGCCTGCATGGTAATACAGCACAGCACAAGGATTCGGGCAAAACCCTGAGGCTCAGTCGGCCCTGTGATTGCTGGGAACTGCCCCCCTCTTCCCGGGAAGCGTGTGTGCCCCGCCGGGCACCGTGGCTCCTGTGCGGGGCCCTCACCTGGGATCCGGCTGCAAAGGCCCAGCCGGAGCCTCCCCATGCCCTGAGCCCACACCATGTTCCCTGGGCTGCATCTAACCCGGTGACACTCAGGAGATGAAACAGAGGCGGTCTCCCCCTGGTCCAGAACGCTTTTCCTGGCGAGAGAAATGAACAGAACGCGAAGCTGCCTCACCCAGGGATGAGTCTGGAGCAGAAACCAGGAGTTAGGAACAGAGTCAGAGGCCTGATCCCACAGCTGCTCTGGCCTGGGCTGGGCACCTGCCCACCGGGCTCTAAACAAACAGAGGGGATTTGGCTAAAGAGGAGACCCAGGACCAACAGGTGAGCCGCGACAGGGTGGCGAGCAGAAGGCCCCAGAAGCTCTGGCCCAAGGGGCCGGGTGCTTCCTCCTGCCAACACGCTCTGGGCAGTTACCTGAAGTCCTTCGGACACATCTTCCTTTCACGACAGGAACGGATCAGAACAACCGTCACGTTGGGTGCATGGCTGAAGTGGGACAAGGTCAGCTGGGAGACAAGACCGGCCCCTGTTACACGAAGGAAAACACCTTTGACACCCAGGCCCTAGAGGAAGAATAGAGCCTGGGTCTTACGATGATCTAAGACGGACAGGCGTTTATTTTATGGCAACACAGGTTTTATGATTCTGAAGATTTTGCTGTTTTCTCCTCCAATTCTAGGATGTTACAAAGACAGCACTGGAGCTGCTGTTACCTGTCTAATAAAAGCTGGGAATCCGTGCATTCCTTTCAGGGTCTGTACCGTGAATGCTCTGCACTGTGTTGCTTTTCACAGATTTAAGGGTCTCCTAGCATGAGAGTCTCGGGACTTTGAGAGGGTGGGAGACAGGCCGAGGAGAGGCGGCTTTTCCCGGGACAAAGCACCGGGAGGAGGGGCTGCCTCCAAGATCACCTCCAGCAAAAACAGACACAGAATGACCCTGGCCGGGGCTTTAACAGGAGCGGGCTGGAGTCTTCGTGGTGCTGGGAAGGAACAGCCTCTCGCTGCGCTAAGATGTTCTCTCGCAGGAGAGTGGGTCCTCAGTTAGGAAGACAGAATGCATCCCTCTGTGTCCTCCTGAGAGAGTGCACCCCTCCCTAAAACTGCCAACAGCAAAAGGGATGGTGAGTTTAGTTGAATTTTCTCTGAGAGAGGTCCATTCACAATGCTTATAAGTTGATTTTAAAATAAATGAAAATTAGAGACAATAAAAACATTTCCCTGTTGATTGAATGAAGTAGGATTTCGGTTTTCGTGCAACTCCTCGCCATTTTGCTGTGTGGCAGCTTCAGGAATTGTTCATTGACTTTGCAGAATTGCATACGTCACTGTAATTAGAATAGATTTGAACCGTTTTCATGCCTTTCAGTGCCATCTGTAGGTGAGTTGAGGTCACAGAGATCTATGATTGAATCGAGTCTGGAGTACACGTCACTGCAGGTGTGAACACAATTCCCCATCAACTTCCCCGGGGAAAGATTCATGACCAAGGGGTTATTTTATTAAATTTTCAAGTAAAAAAAAAAAAAATCCCTCAGGAATCTCTTCAAAGTTGCAGTAAAATTTTGCAATGCTTTAAATTCGCTCTAATAAGTTTCATGCCAATCCTGAGTCCCTGGGATTAATAAAAACACATAAAGATATATTGTGCTGTGTGTTCTGGAACCTTCTGGAGAACGGAAGGGACGTTCTCCAGGAAGCAGGGTGGGGAGAGAGGGCAAAGAGGGTCCTGAGGGCTGGTTTAAATATTCCCGCCACCTTGGCATCCCGTAGCTTCTGCCCCAAGGATCTTTCTGGTTGTGACCAACTCTCCAGATTTGGGGAGGACGGTTTGCCCTGTGGCTGCATGTCTCAGATGGGTGCAAGGAAAGTCTTCGTTTTGCCACGTGTCCAGCTTTTTCTTGTCATAGGAGGGGAATAACGACTTCTGAACTCTTCACCTGTCAGAGCAGAAATCACATCAGCATTCTGGATCACCTTGGCAAACACAGCTCTTAACTAAGGCCGCAGCTAGGAAATTAGAAAGAGAGAAAGAGGAAAATCTACTCTTCTGGTTGCAATTGATTTTCATAAGGCCCATCTGAAGAAACATTTGAGAACCAGATGAAGAATATCTTTGAAGTGGATTTGGAATTAAGCAAAGCAGAAAGGAATCTCCTAACAGTAGGGTGACCTTGTAATTTAGCATCCAAACTCAGACATTTTTGAGAGTAAAAGGGAGCAGTTTCATTAATTACACGGGGAAAATTCGTGCATCTCCTTGGATTTTAAGTACTGTGTACATTTATTTAAAGATGAAAAATAAGTTAGCATCTGTTATTTGCTAGAGCTGCTTTCTAACAAAAAAAACTTGTTTTATTGAGTGTTACTAGATTCTTTACTGGAGCCACTTTCAAATAAAAATCCTGGCACTTCTCCAAGCTTGTCAACGCCAGTATTCTCAGATCTTTAGTCAGGATTAAAACAATAGAGTCCTCTTATAATTATGGAGTAGAACACCATTCCTACTAATGGTGCTGTATAGTCATGGGAGGAAGTTAGCATCACATCCATTTAGGGTTAGGGAAAAACTATTTCTCTTTAATATAATCATAGAATTCTAGAATTCAAAGCTGAGATCTCACTTAGTCTCAACCTTTATATACCAGGCATCTAAGTCCCAGAGAGGTCAAATCACTTGCTCAAGGACAAACAAGAAGGAATAGCAGAACTGGAACCCACGTCTCCCGATACTAAGTCCTGTGCACTTGTCAGCTCCACGGTGTGTGCATGTTTGCATATACGTAGTCACGGCGTGCCCACTGCTGTGAGATTCTCATCACAGACTCTGGCTTTCATGCTGCCTGGAATGTAATGACCAGAATCTTCCTTTTTTGGACATCTTCCATTTCATTTGTGGATTTCTTGGTCTATCACTTGGTAATATTAATTACAGTAAAAAGACTGTATAAGATCTACACTTGTAACTGATTTTAAAGTGTCTGATGCAGTATTATTATCTATCGGCACAATGTTGATCTCCAGAATGCATTCATCTTGCATAACTGACATTTTATACGTTTCACTAGCAACTTCCATTTCCCACTCCCCACATCCACAAACAGGCACAATTCTTTTCTCCCCTGCGTTTGACTGTTTTTATTTTTATTCTGATTTTACTTCATGCCAGTATTGTGGAATTTAAATATTTTATGTCCTGTCTCCGACGTGATTATATAGTTTTGTTCCTTGTTTCCCGTGTTTCATTTTTTGCAACTTGTTCCTGTTTTGAAGGCCTTGAAGGCCTTGGGGCTTGCGGAAAATCGTTTCTAGTAGAGTCTGATATTGTGAGGGAAGCTTTTCACATCCAGACAGGGATGTAGCTGTGGTTGAGGCTATCCAGTACCCCTAGAAATGGTCAAGCCCTACCGTTTCTACTGCTTGGAGAACGAGGTGAACCTGGGTCTCCTAGGCCACTGGGGATGCTAGCAGGATGTGCACTGGAGATGAACAGGACTTTCTGTCCCTTCTATTCCAACTGGAACTCATTTGAATGCAAAAAATGTCTGTGTGCCAGGCACTGCGTGAGTTGCTGCCATGGGTCAGATGGAGTAAAACACATGCCCGGAGAAAGCAGTCAGCTGCGGTCCACTGGCGGGAGGAGGTGTGGGAGATACCCAAGTTAACTCAGGACCAGACTGAATTTGCCATTTACCCAAGAGTGCTATCAGGGGTTCAGTGAGAGAGCGTTTCAGTTCTGACGCATCAGTTATCAGGTTGTCATACAATTCACCTGTTCAAGTGTCTCTCTCCCTTCCAGACACAAGCTCCTCAAGGCCATGTCTGTGCATCCTTGCCTGGCACAGAAACAAGTGCTTCATAAGTGCCTGTGGCTGGAGGGGCGAGGTGCAAGCAGTGCTATGGGGATTCAGAGGTGGGTGAGAACAGGGCGACGTTGGGCAATCAGGGAGGGCTCCACAGAGAAGGTGTTCTTTGAGACAAACCTCGAAGAAGTGATAGGATTATAACAGACTCAGATGGGAAAGAGAGACATAAGTATAGGATACAGGAGCAGGGAAGGTCACTTGACCAGAGCTGATGGCTGGAGAGGAGGGCCGGAACCAGATTTTTATTGAGATACGATTAACATAGAAATTTATATTAGTTTCAGATATAAAACATCATGATTCGATGTATCTATTGTGAAATGATCACCACAGTAAGTCTAGTTAACATCCATCACCTCACAGTTACCAATATTTTTTCTTGTGATGAGAACTTTAAGATCTTCTCTCTTTGCAACTTCTAAATATAAAATATAGTATATGAACTATAGTTGCCATGCTATCCATTACATCTCCCTGACTTACTTATTTCATGACTGCAAGTTTGTACCTTTTGTTTCCCTTCATCTATTTTGTCCACTCCAACCCCACCCCCACCTTCTGGCAGCTACCAATCTGTTCTCTGTATCTATGAATTCAGTTTTTGTTTTTGTTTTTAGATTCTACATACAAGTGAGATCACAGTGTTTTTGTTTCTCTGACTTATTTCACTTAGTGTAATGCCCTCAAGGTCCATCCATGTTGCAAATGGCAGGATTCCCTTCTTTTTCTTTGACTAATATTCCATTGTGCCTGTGTGTGTGTGTGTGTGTGTGTGTGTGTGTATGGGTAAAGAAGATGTGATTGATGGTATGTATATATATACATACTATCAATATACTGTGTGTGTGTATATATATAATGTATAATATATATAATGTCTTCTTTATCCACACATCCATTGATGGACACTTAGGTTGCTTCTATATCTTGGCTAGTGTAAACAATGCTGCAATGAACATAGGGGTGCAGATATCTTTTCAAGTTAGTGGGTTTTTTTCCTTTGGATAAACACCCAGAAGTGAAATTGCTGGATCTACAGTAGTTCCATTTTTAATTTTTTGAGGAATCTCCATACTGTTTCCCGCAGCGGCTGCACCAATTTACATCCCCACCAACAGTGTACAAGGGTGGCCTTCTCTCCATACCCTCACCCACACTTGCTGTCTTTTGGTTTCTTTGATGATGGCCATCCTAACAGGTGTGAGGTGGTGTCTCACTGTGGTTTTGAATCACATTTCCCAGATGATTGGTGATACTGAGCAACTTTTCATATGCCTGTTAACCATTTATATGTTTTCATTGGGAAAAAAATGCCTACTCAAGTTCTTTGCTTATTTTCAAATTGGGTTATCAGGGTTTTTTTCTACTGGTGATATTCTTGATTATTATTCTCCACTCCCTTGTCATGTCTTCCACCATTGTCATGACCTGACAAACCCCAATCCTGAATCAACATAACCATTTGCTTTCCCCATTTTAAAATCTTGATCACCAAGGGAAACTAGAGAAAAAGTAATAAAATGACTCAGATTGGTGTCATTATAAAATCAAGGTCCTACTACCCTAGTAATCCTTTGTTTTCTGGTCAGCTCTCTCTCTCTCCGAGTCTCCCTCAAGCTTTTTCACTTTCTCTTCCCTTCCAGTCTTGGATCCCACCAGTTCCCTCCTTACTCATGTGTTCATGATTCTTTCTCCAAGTCACAGAGACACTGGGAATTAACGTTTGAGAAATTACTGAACTTCAGGACTAAACAAGTGAACTTACCTGCCAATAAACCATGTCCTTACCTCTTTCCTTCTACTTACAATAGAAAAGGAGTAAGGTGTCCCCCCTCCTCTTCGAATCCCTCTACCTGTCTCTGAATTCCCTCCCACCCACCTTCTCAGGACCATCATTCCATTATCTCCTCCTCCCATGATGATGTCACCCATCATCTCCTCCCCCATGATGTCACCCACCATCTCCTCCTCCCACGATGATGTCATCCATCACCTCCTCCTCCCATGATGTCATCTATCATCTCCTCCTCCCGTGATGATGTCATCCATCATCTCCTCCCATGATGTCATCCAGCATCTCTCATCCCATGTGTTCAGGTCTTGCCTCTCTACTGCCTCCTTCCCAGCAGCCTTTAAACATACCTTAAGTTCTTCTGAAAAACCACAACAGTCCACTCTCAACCACCACTGCTGTCCTCTTGCTCTTTCTGTTTTATCTCCTTTAGAGCCAAACTTTCCAGATTTGTCTGTGCTCACTGTCTCCATTCTCTCACACTCTCCCTCTTCAACCTTCTATAATCTGCCTCACATCCCCATACATCTGTGAAGCTATCGTTTATTTATTTTTGCTAACTCTAATGGACTCATCTTATTTGGTTTGTGTCTTATTTAGTCCAGTTGACACCTCCCTCATTCCTGAAATAATTTTTTTTGGCTTCCCTCATTATGGTCCTTTAGTTTTCCTGACCATGCTTATGGGTTCCCCTCCTCTCAGGACTTGTCTTCTCCAGGGCTCCATCCAGCCCATCTTGTCTCACTTGACTCGTGCTCCCTGGACCATCTCACCTATCTCTATAGTTGCAACTACCGTCTTCGTGCTGAAGTTCCCACGTCTGCCTCTCCATCTCAGACCCCTCTCCTAATCTTTAGATCCCAGCTATCTACCAAGTATCTGCACATGGATGTCACATGGCCACTTCAGCATGTCAGATCCAGCCCTGCAAACCTCCTTCAGTGTTCTCTGTAAGCACTCTGTCAGCTATTCAATGCTCAGGACACTGCCTCACTTTTGATTTACCCTTCCTCCTAGTCAACCTGTTCACAACTACAGGAGAGTCTTCCTTCTGAAAATCCTCATAGTAATAGAACTTTCTCCAGTCCCAGTCCCTCTACTTTAGTTCAAGCTGCATTCGTGCCTTGGCTGGACACCTGGAATGGTCTGCCAGCCTTCAGGCTTCTCTCTCCCTCTCATTCTTAACAGTGTACTTCATCACCTTACACCTCTGACCAAACCCTCCAACGTTCTACCCTTTGCTGGAAAATAAAGTCTACATCCCTTAGCACAGAGTAAAGCC